AGCACAAGGAAGGCAGAGGCAGAGGGATCTCTTTGAGTTCAAGCCCAGTCTGGTTCCCAGACAGACTCCAAAACTAGAGAGAAACCCTGTCTTGGGGGAAAAAAAAAAGAGTTGGTGACCAGCGTTTTTCTGACCTTCAGGTTGAACCCCAATATCTGTCTCTGGGTTTTTAATAATCATGCTAAAATAAACAAGCAAACAGATGGATAATCCTTTACACAGAAAACATGTAAGAGTTAATAAATACACATTTTTATTCCCCTTATTCATCTCAGTCACCTGTGCGTGTAGAGACCAGAGGACACCTTGTGGGAGTCAGGCTCTCCTTCCAAGTGTTCAGGTTCCCCGGCCTGAGGCTCAGGTCACCAGGCTCCGTGAAGCACCTTTGTCCACTGAGCCACCTCAGCACCCTGACCCTAGATACTGGCTGAACAGGACACAAGGGAGAGATGGTGTGAAGATAAGTCAGGGAAACACTGAGTAGGAAGTGAGTTTATAAGTTGGCGGCCTAGACACTCTGCTCCTCCTAATCAAACAAAGGAAGAAAAAGACGTAAAGGGAGAGAGGGAGATGTGAGGTAGGAAGACAGAGGGGGAGAAAGAGGTAGTTTACATCCTACGCCTGCAGTTCTCAACCTGTGGGTCAGGAGCCCTTCGGAGGTCAGACGACCCTTTCACAGGGTAGCGATTTCGATCTTTACAGTAGCAAAATTACAGTTATGAAGTAAGAACAAACAAAAATAATTTAATGGTTTGGGTCCCCACAGCACGAGGAACTGTATTAAAGTGCCGCAGCCTTGGGGAGATCGAGAGCTACTGTCCTAGGCTGTAATATTGGGGGGGCTGGTTCTGTTCCTGCCAGTCTGCTTTACTCATTTGTTGGATGTAAACCAATGAATCAGCCCAGTACTCAGGAGAAAGGGAGTTAGGCTCTCTATGCGTCCTTCTGAGGGGGTCCCTGCAGGGGTCACAGCGGACAGGCAAACGATCCCAAAAAGGTAAGAATAAAAACTAGGCTCAGTTTTAGTCTGCCCGGCTGGATCAAACTCCTAGACAGCCTGATGCCAGACCGTTTACTGTCAGCATGTTTGATAATCACAGTATAACTTGGGGAAAAAGTTTCCTGGTATAACACAATCCCCGGTGTACAACTGCAGAAGGAAACAGTCATTACATCAAAATATAGCTCACTGTACATGTCGTTTCTTCCAAGAAGATGGGTTTGAGAGATAGTCTACCTGTACTAGCTTAAGGACCTAAGGAAGGTTCTGGCCTAGTCTCCATCAGGTAGAATAGTGGTCATTTCGGGTATTAACCATCTCCAGTCCTGGTTGTGGGAGCTTGGGGGAGCCTCTGGTTATATAGACTATGTAAGGGTCATTTAGACTATAAGCTATCTCCAGTCCTGGTTGTAGGAACTTGATAAGGCCTGGCCCAATAAATATCAAAGGTGAGCACCTCTAATTCCCAGCCTTCTGTAAAAACAGTTTGTGTGTCCTTCTCTTTGAAAGGACAATCCTGGATGCTTAACATTCCTGGTTCCCAGGAGATCAGTGGGTGCGAGGATCTTCGTGCTCCCAACATCATTGCGTATCCTATCCTTACAGAGTGTTGTTGCTCAGGAGTCCTGCCTGGGCTCTCTCATCTCACCTCAACCAGTCCCCTACCCTGAGTGACGTTAACTACCCCAGTTCTGTTGACACCTACATAATAGAAGAATCTTTATCTTTACTCTAGCCTCTCTCTGTGAGCCCATATTTCAATTTTCAACTGCGTATCATCACACATCTAATATAGCCCTAACCCAAAAAGCCATCGAAGCCTCTCCAAAACTAATCTTTTGTGTTCTTCTCCTCAGGTCTCCATTGCACTCCTTGCTCTAAATCTTCAGTCCTGTCATCCAAACACAACCTCGTTCTCTGTTCCTCCCTGTCCTCCTTACCTCTCAGAGACTCTGATGTGGATTTATGCTGCTATTATTTATATGTGCCCTTATCTCAATCATCACTATCTGTGCAGGCCGCCATTCATCTGCTCCCCAACAGTAACATAGAAATTGATTTCACTGCCTGGTCTCTCGCCATTCTGATTTATCTTTTGTCAGATTTATCTTGGTTAAAATGTGGATCTGAGCTCATATATCTCTATGAAAGCCTTGAGTGGCTCACTAATAACTTCATTTTAAAGCCCAAGCTCTTTAAGGTCATATATAAGGCTTTAAATAAAACATCTATCCTAATGGGTTTCAGCTGCATCTCCTATCACTGCCTCAAGATTTCTTTAGCAAACCACAGTCATTACCTGAAAATCCCACGTACTTTTACACAGACATACGTGTGCACATGCTATTTCCTCTGCCTGAAGACCCAATACTCTCCACTCTGCTTAGAAAACGCTCATTTCCATGGTTTGCAAAGGCCCTTTTTGGAAAAGCTAATGTCCCTGGGTGAAAAGTCACGTCCCTTCCTGTGTCCCACAACACTTGTCATACACTGAGTATCACAGCCACCTAAAGCTCTAGCCAGGGGGTGTATAGTCCTCTGCCGGTCACTGCAGGCAGACACACACTCATACATACCACACACATACACCACGCACACCACACACACACACACACACACACACACACACACACACAGTTATTGAGCTCTTATAGACAAGGTGCAGTAGGTACTATTAGTGAGAGATGAAGACATAGAGATTTTATTTACCAGGATCTAACTTGCTGTCTTCCTCATGTGATCTTCCATATGAACTTTTCTGTCTTACCAATGACTCGCATCTATTAATCCATTTCATTTAAGAAAATATGCACAGTTTTGTGGAAAAAATAAGAAGACATAATCAACTAACCCTAAGCCATTCATAAACCACAGGAAAGGATGAAAATCCTTATAGGGTTTAGATTTAGCTTCTAAGACAGTAACTTTATGAAAAATGTTGATGCCTGTTAGAGAAAAAAATTGACACTACTGTAACTACAGAATGATCATCAATGTATTATAAAAATCTGAAGTTTATTGGTAAAATAAAAATCGGTGGTGAGGCCATTCCTATATAGTTAGGAAGAAACATTTAAGGAATAGAGTAGCACCATCTAACTCATATCACAGCACTTACTGTGAGAGTAAGACCTGGGGAGAAACCATAACAAGATAAAGTAAGAGCCCCTCCTAAGAGTCCAAGCAAAGGATGCAGTCCTGGAATAAGATTAGGAACTGGAAAGGAGACATCTGAATCACACTGATGAGGAGGGGACTGCGGGTCCCAATAAACCTCTTGTGCAAGGCCGCCAACTGCATCCAGAACTGACAGGGACAGCTATGAACTGGCTGGATGTGGAGGCTGAAGAATATAAGCTTCTCGTTATGGTATTAGATGGAATAGAAACACTTCTTTCTTTTGGGGGGGCGTCATATATGTAAGACCCCGAAAAGCTCTAAGGCACGAGACAGTACTGGGGGGGGATGTGAAGGAGGGGATAGGACAAGTCGGCCTCAGGTGGGGAACATCAGCTGAAGTGGCAGAAGCGAAAAACCATTCACGACTGTGCTAGGGAAACTGCAGACTCCTTGCATTGAACTCAAGAGGCCAGGGGAAACCATCAGAAAGCTATTACTAGGGAAATGGCATGATTGATGGGGATCGTGAAGAATGGTTTAAGCTTCAGTGAAGCAAAAAAGTATTTTGGGAACGGTACAGCTCGATTTCTTGGCAAACGCCATAATAGCTATTATAATGGTAGCAAGAAGTATTTCAAATAGAAACAGATAAGTCACCCACTTAAGAAAATTTTGTGTCAGTATAGGTTGCAGTGAAGGGTTACAGTATGGAAACTCAAGCTGACAAGTTAGAGGAGATTTTACACGCTCTGCTGAAGCAAGCTTTTTGTCATAGTTTATTTTGGAGAGAAAATGTCTTAAAGGAGACGGCCTGAATGGCAGAGTATTTGGGAGCATTAAATAAATAAAAACATTTCCTACTAGGTACTATCTCAACTCATGAGTAAGCAATTTAAAAGGTTGGTTATAGTAGTCATACTTTTACCAAAAAAAAAAAAAAAAAAAAAAGAAAGCAATTGAGTAAAATAGCCTCTGCTCACCATAACAACAATATCTAAGCAGTATCTATACTATTGTTCTCTCCCTTATCAGATTATTACTTTGCTAGAGTTTCCATAACAGAGTACTACAGATGTGGTACTTAAACAATATGGAAGCCATAGAAGAAGGGTAAGGTATCACGTAGCCCAGGCTGACCCTGAACACACTGGAGTCAAAGATGACCTCCATTTCTGATTCCTTTGTCTCCACCTCCCAAATGCTGGGATTACAGGTGTGTACCACCACGCCTGGTTTGTGTGGTACTGGAGATTAATCCCAAAGCCTTGGGCATGCTAGACAACACTCTGCCAGCTGAATTGCACAGCACCACCTCCGGGTTTGGCTTCTTCTGAGGCAGAGTGGTTCTCAACCTTCCCAAAGCTGTGACAATTCTTACGTTCTGTTCACCTCAACTATAAAATCATCTTCACTGCTACTTCAGAACTGTAATTTTGCTATGGTTATGAATTGTAACGTAAATATCTGGGGGCTTTCGGGAATCGTGAAGGCCTTCCCCTAGAACCTAAAATTACTACAGGATTTCAAAGGAGGTGGAAGGCTCCATGGTGTAGAAGACCACGTCTGCGACGTGCAAAGGAAATTCTTCCTTCATGTTGATTGATACTGAAGGTGCTGCACTCCAGCCCTGCCCCTGCAGTTCAGAATGGATGCAACCGCTTCCTGAGCGCCCAGGCCAGGACCACAGGGATATCTAGGACCAGCAGGGGTGCACGGACGCACGGCGACTCCAGCCCCACGGACCGCGCGGTCGCCCCTGCCCGTTCCCACGTCCCGTCCACGCCCCCTCTAGGCCCCGCGCGGCCGGAGCGCACGCGCAGCCGCACTTCCGGGGAGGGGGGGCGCCTCTGCTCCCGCCCCACAATGCCGCGCGGCGCTGTCCTGTCGCAAAGGCCGCATCCGGGCGGCGAATGAGCGCGTCGCTTTCTGTGCGCTGCGGCGGCGGCCGGGTCTTCCTGCTCCCGCCGCGCTGCCGGACGCCCCGACGGTCGCCATCCGCGCCGCATTCGGCTCGGCGCCCCCGCCTCCTCCGCGATGCCCCCCAAGAAACAGGCTCAGGCCGGGGGCAGCAAGAAGGCGGAGCAGAAGAAGAAGGAGAAGATCATCGAGGTGCGTACCCTTCCCCCCTCTCTCTCCTCGCGCGGGGCTGGGGCGAGCCCCGCTGCCGAGCGCCGCTCCCGGGGCCACGTGTCGGCGTCCAGCCCGGTGGGCCCCGGCCCCGGGGGGCGCTCGCCGGCCCCGTCCCCGCCCGCGCCCGCCGCGTCCCCGCCCGCGCCCCTCGGCCGCCCGCTGACCCCGGCCCGGCCTCCCTTGCTCCCGGGTTGCAGCCGTTCCCGGGGCTGTGCCTGAAGGGGCAGGGCTGATCGTCCTTCTGGACGGCCCCTTCCCACAGGCCTCACGCCGCTGGCGTTTGTATTTCCTTTATCACACACTGAGACGTAGCGCTGTTCGTTTTCAAGCGCCAACAGAATTGACTCCCCCCCCCCCCTTTTGGTCCATCTGGAAACTTTAGGGTCAAGCACAGGGTAACCCAGCAGTCTTGTCCAGAGTATTTAATTCCGGTTCCGAATTACCTGTGTAGGCTGTGTCACTGCCTGTGTTGATGACGGTGCTCCCAGTTTATCTACACACACACAGCGACTTTGAGTGTATTAAACGTGTAGGCCTTCAGTGGGCGATGCAAGGGATTGAAGTTCATATATGTTCCTCAGTAGGTTTACAGCGATTATATACGTGAGTTTTCTTAAGATGATTAGCTATGTCTGACATTCGGAAAACGACGTGCATCTCTTTGTGAGATCTTTCCTACTAATCCTCCTCGTCCTTAAAAACAAATGGTACCTCATAGGTTCGGGGTGTAGTTGGGAAAAGCAGTGACCGTTTTACAGCATAACATCTGAATAAAAGGTAGCCCTGTATAGGTTTGTATTTACTAGAATACCAGAATGAATGCTTTGGAATGCGATGTTTGCTTATTTTTGTTTTTCAACATTTGATTGTTACAGCCGTGGAAGATAGCAGTGAGACTCCCCAGAGTTCCCTTCTCCAAGTCCAATTGTACAATTGCCATTGCACATAGTTAAAGTTGGCTGACTTTAAATAAAATTGTTGTGAAGACAATAATAATCCTGGCTGTGGTAACTCCGTTGTAAGACTGTCATAACCAAAATATTTGAAAGCAGAATAATTGCTGCCCGGTGGGGGGGCAGGCCTTGAATCACTCTGGAGGCAGGGGCAGGCAGATCTCTGTGAGTTCAAGGCCAGCCTGATCTACAGAGGAGTTCCAAGACAGCTGGGGCTGCACAGAAACCCTGTCTCAGTGAAAAGAGAAAAGAAAGATGGAAAAGAAAGGAAAGCAAAATAATTTTCATCTTCACAGGATTTGGGAACCAAAAATCCAATGGCAGTTTAGTGCTGTGCCAACAAAGGGCATTCCAAGAGAGCATTCTGCAGTTGAACCAACAAAATAGAGACCACAAGACAGTAAAAGTTAGATACACTTCAGAGAATATAGAGCTTTAACCACTTTTAATTAATAAGGCTAAGCTATTTCTTTAAAGTGGTGGTGCCGATCTCTGAGTGGGCTCTCTGAGTGGGAAGACAGCCCGGTCCTCAGAGTGAGTTCCAGAACAGCCAGGGCTATACAGAGAAACACTGTTTGAAAAACAAAAAGCAAAAAAGTCAAAGTTATTTATAGTGTTCTATTTCCCCTAAAATTCATTCATCTATTTTGGCCTCGTCTTGTAACCGGCTTTTCCGGGTGTTGTGCCCAAACATCACACACTGCAGGGTTGCCACTGTCTGCAGTCCTAGTAGAGAAGAGTCTGTCTGTTTGGTGGTTATATTTTTGTTTTTGAAGTAAAGAGAAATCCACCTTAGTTTCCATTAGTGAAGACATCAAAAAAAACTCCCCCGTTTACCTGATTGAAAGTATGCTGATAGAGAAATGGAATTAAGCCTGATCTGATCTGTTTGAACTTCTCTAGGACCCTAGCATGTCTTGATGACTTCAGTGGTAGTGCCGCGTATATTTTGGCTCCTTAGTCAAATTTCATGTAAAGCCGCTCTCTATTGATTTTTGTAAGAAAAGAAAATTGTCTGCATTTTCCCCTCTTCCTCCTTTAAACTGTCTGGGGATCACGAGGTCACTTGTGTGAGTATGTGTCGTCTTGAAATGGCTGCATCACACTGTGGTTCAAGTTTATTCTCCGTTCACATGTGGTCCCCAGGCAGTATATAACATTTGTTTTCTTAGAGCCAAAATGATACTTTGAGATCAACTTTGAGCATCAAACTGTCTGATCATAAACCAGGCAGAGCCAGAATCCTGACTAAGGCACAAGGATTTCAAGTTTGAGGACAGCGTTGGCTATAATATAAAACCCTGTTTTAAAGAATAAAAGAGGGGCTGGAGAGATGGCTCAGTGGTTAAGAGCATTGCCTGCTCTTCCAAAGGTCCTGAGTTCAATTCCCAGCAACCACATGGTGGCTCACAACCATCTGAAAAGAGGTCTGGTGCCCTCTTCTGGCCTTCACGCTTACACACAGACAGAATATTGTATACATAATAAATAAATATTAAAAAAAATAAATAAATAAAAGAAAGGGGGGGCTGGAGAGATGGCTCAGCGATTAAGAGCTCTGGCCTCTCTTGCAGAGGATCCAGGTTCGGTTCCCAGCACCCACATGGTAGCTCACAACTGTCTGTAACTCCAGTTGTGAAGGATCTGGTGTCTTCACATAGACAACACATAGGCGCATGAAAATACATCTTTAAAAAAGAACAGAACAAAAGACTAAGTATAATCATTGGTTTGGGTTGGCAGTGTCCTTGGGTTTAGGGCAAACAGATAAGGAATGTATGTTCCCCTGGGCACGGGAGCACTGCAGAATATTTACCATGGAGATCTCTGCAGAGAGGACCAAGGTTTGAAAGGAGGGTGTAGAAGCTGTTGATTGCTGGCAATTAATCTGTTGTAAAGTGTCCATTTATAAATAGACAACAAAATCCATTAGGTTGTGTATTTGGAGACAAAACCACCAAGTTAATACAATGTCAGCCTCTGTCTACCCTAGGGTCCCAGATAGTAGATCCCAGAACCCACTTACCTTGGCACACTGTCAGCGTTGACTCTCTGGCTTCCTTTAAGGAGCAGGAGCTGGCCTGTGAAGGGAGCAGGACCTGCTTAAGGCTCAGAAGAGGAAAGGTCAGCGTTGTCGGTCAGATCTGGAATGAGGAGGGTGGAGGCTCCGAAGCAGTCCTCTCCACGCCGCCTCTTTTCTGACTCCTCTGCATTCTGCTTCTCTATTCACCCACGGAAACATACCCTTCCTTCTTTCCTTGTAACTGATGTTTGAAACCTTAAACTTGCGGTGTTTTCCTAGCTTTATGGGAGTCACTGAAACCTTTTCCTACCTAGTACTTTCCCGCTCCCAAATCCATGTCAACTCTTGGGTAAGAGTTTGTCCAGAGCCCAAGGAAAGGCTTTATTGACATAGCTTGGGTCGTAAACCACCCTACTTTTAAGGTGTACCAGTATTATTCAGAATATACTCTTCAGAAGGCTTTTTGTAATGGGGGCTGTCGCTCAGGTAGAGTGCCTGCCTAGCACACGTGAAGCCCTGGGTTACTCTGTCACCACACATTGGGCATTGTGGTGTGTTTCTGTAATTCTAGCACTCTGGAGATAGAAGCAAGTAGATGGGAAGTTCAAGGTCATCCTCAGCTACATACCCAGTTTTATGCCAGCCTAGGCTGTGTGTGTGTGTGTGTGTGTGTGTGTGTGTGTGTGTAGGGGGTGCTTTTGGTAAACCATCTTATCTATGACTTAACCAGGACTCTGGAAAATGTAGGTTTTGATGGTGGGAGGAGCAAGAACTTAGATCAGATACTTTTTAATTTAAATATGTCATTTTATAGTTGACAAGTATTGAGCTAGACACAGTTTTTTCAGTATTTTGAAGGAGGGATAAGTGATACATAGCACCTTTATTTGTTTCAGATAAGTGTTAGCACTCATACAGTTGAGATAACAGGCACAAAGGTTAAATAACTTGCCCAAGGTATACTGAACTGGCAAGCAGGAAGCCAGGATTTAAACCCAGAAGGTCAGGCTCCCCAAGTCCTTGCTGTCAGGTACTTTCTGCAGTGCCTCAGTGTTAGCAAATCTTTAATTCATACCTAAGGTTAGACTCACTTTCCTATGACACAGTTACCCAGCCCAGTTTGACTCTAGGTTATATTCTTAAACAGCTTGGGAACATGTCAGAGCTTCTATGGCTGTAGGAAGACATCGTAGGACTGTGAAGAAGATTTAGGAGAGAGAGAGAGAGAGAGAGAGAGAGAGAGAGAGAGAGAGAGAGAGAGAGAGAGAGAGATTCTGTCTGTATTCAGGAAGATTATATATAGAAAACAATTTTCTTCTCTGGAAATAAATTAAGTATTCATTAAACTGGTTAATTAAGTACTAAAGCAGTGTAGTTAAACCTGGAAGCTTGCTGGGGTTTGTCTGTCTGTGTTTTGTTTTTGTGTTTCTTTTCAGGTCTGGAATTACATACCTCTCCTAGGAACTGCTATTGGAAGTCTGCTGTTCTCAAGCTGCCTGGTTTTTTTTCTTGCTTAAATATTTCTATGTCAGTATATGGTTTACTATCCAATTTTATTTATTCATGGTTTATTGCTTCTCTGTACTTGCATGTAGAGCAAAGCATTTTAAATATTGTTGGTCCTATATTCTCCTTTCACTCATGATAGCTCGTACTGTACAAAGAAGGTAGGGTGTTTCATACTTGGTTCATACCTAAATTAATCCCCCATCTGTCACAGGACCCTTGACCATCATACCCTGGAATTGGCTAGAATATTAAGCTTTTTACAAAAACAGAGGATGCCATTTATTAAAAGCTTGATAAAGAGCAATTTCAGCTTATGTTTTCCTTTTTCATATACATAAGCTATGGAGTATGTGTGTAGAGTTTTGTAATACTGTGCTGGGATATTAAAACACAAGCAGACATTTAGGTAAGTAAAGGTAAAGCAAAGTTTAAATACATGGTAATGAATAAAGCAGTATTTACCAGTGAGAAGTAACCTTTTAGAATCAAAACACCTTTGAGTTCTTACTGTTGAAATATTGAAAGACTGTATTGAGTTTGAGGTACTAGAAAGATTGTGTTATGTTATAGGGTTTCAGATAGTTCATTCAATAGTGTTTGTTATTTCAGATTTAAAGCTTTTCAGATAATTCAGAATACTTTTTTTGCATTCTGTGAAACCCCTCATAAGTAAGAGAATGAGAAGGAATTCTGTTTTGAGGTTGGAGCCATCTATAATGTTGAGCATCCACATGTGAAGGTTGGCAGCTCATGGATGGGTTGGTGACTTCTGTAGAACACAGGCAGGACTGGGCGCTCTCTGTTGTGAAGAAGGGTTCTGGAAGGCTCGGCTCTAGGAGACACTACATAGGAAAGTGAGAGGCTGATGTTAGAGTAGCTACCAGGTAATGCCTACCCTGACTCAGGAGGGGCTACCACAACAGACAGGTGTGTGTTCCTTAGAGGATAGGAGGCACTCTTCTCAAACACTGCACGTGCATAGAGGCTTTGGGGAAATCGGTTAAAATGTAAGGCTGAAGCCGGGTGTGGTAGTGTGTGGTACAAGGTGAGGCAAGATTAGTCAAGGCTATCCTGGGCTACACAGTAAGCCCTGTCTTCCCCACCTCCCAAGAGAACAAAAGGAATGGTCCTGAGAACGATCTGTGCAATAACTGTCTCCCACTGTTCCCTTCTGCCCTGTAGTCAGGCTTGTCTCTCTCCTAGCCGATCCTGCAGGAAAATGACATTACATAAGTGAAACAGTTCAGATGGTAGTGCCAGCCTTCCCTGTTGGTGCCAATCCCACTGTTTTAGTTTCTTTGGGCTGCTGTAACAAATTACCCAAAACTGTTACTAGACTGCTTGTTTTTCTTTCCACCATTCTGGATAAAGAAGTCTGAAATCCACAATCAACATGTTCATGACCCCTTTCTGAAGGCAACCGGAGGGGGGGTTCTCCTTGGCTTCTTCCTGGTGTCTGATGTCATCTAGCAATCCTTGGTTTTCCTTAACTTGTGTTTGTGTTCATCTCTGCTGTCTTCACATTGCCTTCTCTCGGTGTAACCTCATTGGGAGATTATATCCACAAAGACTTGTTTCCAAATAAAGTCACATTTAAAGTGTGGCAGATAGCAGTTTTCAAGGGGTACAAACGTGCATCCTGAGATACGTTGAGTTTTGAAAGTGCTGTGTATATCACCTCAACTAAAGGGGATGCTAAGATACCTTGTGATTTATATGCTCATTGCTTTGGGTTCTACCAGCACTGCGAAAGAATCTTAAGAATACTTTCTTCACAGCATTTCCCTCAGCTTGTTTGTGGGATGACTTTTTTCAGTATAACTCCTCCACAGGTCCCAAAGACCTGATGATCTGAAACATCTTGAGGAAGAAGACAGCACAGTCAGCCGAACGGTGGCGGTGACAGTTGTCAGTTGGCATTAAATTGCGATGGTCCTAGCTGATGTTGTGAGTGGCACACGCTCATATTCATTGTGCTGGCTACTTGTTAGGGAAGACCTCAATGAGGAAGTGCACTCCCAAGATTGACCTCGTTTCCTTGATTGGTAATTGATGTGGAAGGGCCTAACTCTCTGTGGGCAGTGCCACCCTGTAAGCTGGTGATCCTGAGTGTGGAATAGCCCAGTAGGCAGCAGTCCTCCGTGGCCTGGACATCAGTTCCTCCCCACCCCACCCCACCCCCCAGTTGCTTTTGGTCATAGTGATGCATTGCCTTTGCCTGGTGCTGTGATATTTTATGTATTTTTTGTGGCATAAAGAATCTATTTCCTGGGGCTGGAGGGATGGTTTAGCATGTGACGAGCACTGGATGTGCTTCCAGATGACCCAGGTTGACTTCCCAGCACCCTGTTCTGGCTTCCACAGGTACTGTACACATGTGGCAGGCACATAGACTTGCATGCAGGCAAAACAATGTGTACTAAAATAAAAAATAAATCTTATTTTTAAAAAAGATTTGTTTTGCCTATCAATAAATAGTGCATCTATCATTGAAAAGATAGTAATTTACCAAAATATTTCTGTTCTTTCCCATTTAGGACAAAACTTTTGGTCTGAAGAATAAGAAAGGAGCAAAGCAACAGAAGTTCATTAAGGCTGTCACTCACCAGGTGAAGTTTGGTCAGCAGAATCCACGTCAGGTAAGTAATTAAATTGTTGTGTTTTTCTGATAGGCGTAATAGAATATACCATCTATCTCAGAATTTTATTTATTTTATTTTGTGTATGTGAGTGCACATGCCACGATGCTTGTCTGTGGGTCAGAGCGCAGTTTGCAAGGAGAGTTGGTTCTCTGTCTTCACGGTGTAGATTCCAGTAACTGAAGTGAGTTCTTCAGGATTGGCCGCAAATGCCTTTACTCACTGAGCCATCTCTCTGACCCTGAGCAGATTCTGTGGAGTAACAGTTCCCTCTCTCATCTCCTCTGTGTACTAGATGCTAAGGTTTCTTAGTGTTTCCCCAATAATAAGCTTTAGGTGACATTTCATTGTGTTCCTTGGGTAGAGTGGGTCTCCTCGTGTACTTGTCATTTTACTCTGTGACTCCCCTGTCCTGGCCAACTACTCAAATGCTGTCTGCCTTTCTCTTTTTGATTTTTCCAGACAGGGTTTCTCTGTAGCTGTGAGTTCTGTCCTGAAATTCATTCTGTAGACCAGGTTGGCCTCGAGGTCACAGAGATCTGCCTGCCTCTGCCTCCTGAGTGCTGGGATTAAAGGTGTGTGCCACCACCCTGCCTTTCGTACAAATTTGTAAAATACTTTTAACATTGCAGATAATTTGTCTCATCTCTCTTGCTGTACTGTAATTTTATCTCAATTTCTGCTGGGTTGTTTTGCACAATTTTCTTAGTTTCTTAGATTTTGTTTTATTTATTTGTTTTCTGGTTGCTTCCTTTTTGCAGTCTATACTTTGTCCTATATTTTATGTATTTGTAAGATTGTCTTTAAAGTTGAATAGCTACTTGATCCTGCATCATATCACCACTGAACTGGAATGTAACTACTGATACATTAGGGTCTCTTTCTGGATTCTCTCTTCTGTTCTACTATTTGTTGGCTAGGTCATTATCACGTTGGTTTTTATTATGGTGAGTGACCTAGACGTATATGTTAGCTATGATGTCTCCTTTTTGTTCTTGCTGCTTCTGAGATATTTGTTCTCATATAAGAATTGATAACTTGTTCAGAAACTTTAGCCTCTTTTTCTTTGAATTCTTTAGACCTTTCATCCTTTAAGGTTTTATAAATATGGTCTTTATTTTTTAAATATCTTTTCCTTAATTCTTGGTAACACTCTTTGGACATAGAAGAGAAATTCTCAACTATGTTTTTAACTATAGTTTTTTTTTTAGTCTGAGAATATCAGCATAATATCTGTTAGATTACTAATCTTTGCCTAGAACCCATTTCTCTCCATGCTGTCTCCGAATCATTGTCTCTTTCCCCTCACAGCACAGTTTTACTCTAGAGTCAGACGATAGTGTTCTTTCAAGGCGCTGGCTTTACTTTGTTCAGTAAGAGTGTCTTCAGGCTGAAACAGCTAAAGTTCAAAATATGTCTGTTTTCTTTTTTAAAGAAAAGGTACATCATTGCCGTGTCTTTAGATCTAATAAGAGGGTCATGTTTGTACTGAGAAGGTACTCAGGTATTGTTCCTAAGCAATACAGTGAGATGATTTAGATAGCCTACATTGTATTATCAGTATCATTATCTTATCAGTAATACTCAAGGGACTTGAGCTACCACAGATTTGGGGCATTTGGAAGAGGCCTAGACTCACTGCCCAGAGTTACCAAAGGATAGCTGTATGCTGAGCCTTGGACACAGGTAGACTTGGGCTGGATCTTTTTCATTACATGACTTTAAGTTGTTCACATATATCAGTTTTTATTTTGCAGTGGAAGGGCACTTGTCCCTTGTAGGGTTCTCCTGTTTGTTAAAGAACTTTAACTCCCGTCCAGTACATTTCCTCTTCCTTTGACATCTTCCTAGTCATTTGAGTGTTGTTTCTGATTTAATAGACCTAGCAATGTTATAAAATTCATGAGCTTCTTAAGTATGTCACTGCATTCAGTATGATATTTTAACTGGTCTAGCATTGAATATAGAGTACCTAATTACCACATATTACTTTGAAGCTGAGCAGCAATGCTATTTGTAGACCCAGACCTGAGGTCCTACCCTGGGTTGTGTGCTGTGGAAGATGACTCTGCTCTTAGTTATTTCCCAGACATCTCTCCCAGGGGGTGTGCACCACAACTCCCCTAAACAGCTGCCAGGGCCTGTGAGGGCCCTTCCTCGTTCCATGTCCAGGGGGCTGCTATGCTGCCAGTTTACCCAGGAGCCTGAGGGGGTGCTAGGGATACAGCTTCTCCTGTACATGCACAGACGGGACTGTGAGCCTGCAGAGAGAGCAGAAGACAGTAAGTAGGGACTGACTGACTGCCACTGCCGAGCTTCATTTGGCAGCTCTGTAAAAGGGAGCCCAAGCATTTTAAATTTGAACCTCATAGGCCAGGTGTTTGTGGACTAGAAAGACAACCACATTGATGTAACATTTGCTTGCTCTCTCTTGCCTCAGCCTCATAAGTACTAAGTGACCTTTGCTACTCTGTCCCAGTGGTTTATGGCCTCCAGTATATTTTTCTAGATGCTACATAGGAGATGAGCCTAGCCAGCACAGTGTACTGTGATATAAAGGAAAGCAGAATGATTTCGTTGTTGTTGTTTAAACACTTCTACTATGTAGTTGAAGTCAGAACTTGGAATGACCTAATTGTAGCATTGGTTCACTCTTCAAGGTTTGTTTTGTTTTTCCTTTTTGAACACATTTTCTTCTTACTGATTTATTTTTCTTGCTGCTGTTTCTTGAGTCTCTTTAACAGACTAGGTTATGTGTTATCTCAGACTAGGCCCTGTCTAGTTGCAGTGGAGTTGGTACCGTGTCCAGTGCAGCTGCCTTTAAACAGCTCCGCCCAGATGCTCTGTAAGCATTTCAGCTCCTGTGTCCAAACCTGAGCTCATCTCCACCTCCTGCCCTCAAACCTGTTCCTCCTGTATTCCCTGTCTTTTTCAGCAGCACTTAGTGCACATGCTAATCCCAGGCTCCTCTTTCTCCTCGTCCCTAGTTCTGCTTCCTAAAACGCTTTTCTTCTCCTCTTTTACTTATGCCTATTCAAATCCCTAGTGCCTTCCTGTCTACAATTGCAGGAGATTCTTTGCTTTCTTTGTGCCTTGCTACTCTGTCCTCAAAGTCTCTACCCTGTCTTTGTAAAATGGAACCTGATCTGGTTACTTTAAACTACCAAGTTCCAGTCTCTCGCCTACTGATGAGATCCAAACTTGTCCGTGGTGTTTTCAGTGGTAGGTTTCTTTTACATTCCTTTCTTGTTGACAGCACTCCTAAAAGTTACCAGCTCAGTCTAATTTCTAAGCATATCAACATTCTTTGTTTTCAGAGTTCTGTGTATATTGCATTATAGTTGTATGTCTGTATTCCTTAAATAAGCATCTTGTATCTTCTAATATAGGGGCTGAGGTATAAATGTTTTAAATGAATACACTGATCATATTAGGTATGTAAAGCTTGTACTAGAACTATGAGTGCATTGTGTCTTCTGTTATCCCCACCACTCTAGTTTGTGGTGGTTACTGACCATTATTGCACCACTGAACATGTCGGGCTATTTTCATCTCATGTCAAAATGTGCTCGTATTTCTAGAGTTTAAGTTGTTTTCACTGAAAAGAAATATATTTCAGTTGAAAAGTATTTGTTAAATGCCAGGGTTAAGTGTTTAATATTTGTTTGTTTCCATGAACTCATTAGCTTTGAATGGCATTTTAATTATGTGTGGTGCCTAATTATAGTACAAAAAGGAATTTGTTACAGAGCTTATCAATTTTAATAGTTTAACCACAATATCTAATATGTAAGCCACTTAATGTAAAGGGTGAATAATATAAATATACAAATGTCTTTGTTAGGCAGTAATTACTGTATAGTGGAAAGAGTTGTATAAGCAATCAGATTTACATTTTTAACCTGGGAATGCAGGTGGCACAAAGCGAAGCTGAGAAGAAGCTGAAGAAGGATGACAAGAAGAAAGAGCTGCAGGAGCTGAACGAGCTGTTCAAGCCTGTAGTTGCCGCACAGAAGATAAGCAAAGGTAAAATTTGGTGTCAGAGGTACTGTTTTTACCAAATACAGTTCGTGTTGCAAACTTGATTTGTGCGGAACTGGAGTGACTTTTCTTGCTCTTAGAAAGGACCTGGTCTCAGTTCCCAGCACCCTGGCCACCTCAGGTACACACGCATGCATGCAGGCCAGCACTCACACAATTTCTCTGTTTTTTATGTGATTTGTGCCTGACATGGTAATACATACTTTTACTCCTAGGGCATAGGAGGAAGTGGTAGGCAGATCTTTATGAGTTCACTGCCAGCCAAAGCTAAACAGCAAGACTTTGTCTTAAGAAAATGAAAACAATGTGCTAGTTTTCTGAAGTTCTGTTCTTTGTGTTTTAATGGAGGTGATGTTTGTTTTATGATTTTTATATATAATGTATGCACCCTGCATGTATTGAACACCAGAAGACGGCACCAGATCTCATTATAGATGGTGGTGAGCCACCATGTGGTTGCTGGGGATTGAACTCAGAACTTCTGGAAGAGCAGTCAATGCTCTTAACCTCTGAGCCATCTCTCCAGCCCAGTGGGGGTGGTCTTTGGGAGCCAAGACAAAGCTGTGGTTTTATAAATTGTAAGTCGCATGCATATTTGGGGCAGTAGTCTTCCGTTTGTGTTTTTCTTTACTCCTGTCTTACTGACTCCATAGCCAAGCAACTAGAATAACCTCTATGTTTGGTCTTCACTTCTGCCACTTATTTTGTTTATAAAAGAAAAACAAATAGCTAAAATGCTATGTAAAGAACTTTAAAGAAATATCTAACCAAAGACCTCTAAGTGATACTTTCTCTTACATTAGTAAATAGAAATTAGTAAGTTAGACAGGAATAATCCCAGATACGAGCTACCATCGAGCAGCCTATAAGAATGATTGGGAGATGGGGGACACAAAGAAGGAACGGCCAACACTCTGCAGTAGTAACGGGATCCCGAAAATGGGTTACCTGCCTGTAATAATAGATGTCCTTCCTGTTGGATACAGGTGCAGATCCCAAATCTGTGGTGTGTGCATTCTTCAAACAAGGGCAGTGTACTAAAGGAGATAAATGTAAGTTCTCTCATGACCTCACTTTGGAGAGAAAGTGTGAAAAACGAAGTGTTTACATTGATGCCAGAGATGAAGAACTTGAAAAAGGTATTTAACTTTCTCTTAAAGTTGAAAAGTCCCCTTTTTTGTTTTTTACTACTTAGTAACATATTAATACAGTATTGACTAGTATGTTTGTAAAGCACAGTTGGGGGTTTGCACAGAGTAAGTAAATGGTGCTTAGAATATAGTGGTTTAATTTGGATTTGGCTGTCTTCTTTCCTGTGCTAAGGTCTCATTTATCTAAACTACTTAGGGAGCGTAGGTGGATAATTTGCAATATTGTGTATGCATGCTGTCTTTGCTGCTTCAGAGAAAATTGTTACATTATGAATATTTCAGTGTTGTGTACTGTCTGCTTAGAGGCCTACCTATATAGTAAAGCAGGAGATAAAAATTGCTTGTTGTGTCTTTTTATTTAGATACTATGGATAATTGGGATGAGAAAAAGCTGGAAGAAGTAGTAAACAAGAAGCATGGTGAGGCGGAAAAGAAAAAACCAAAAACTCAAATAGTATGTCCTTTTCTTGAATTGAGTTGCTGTGGCATTTATTATTAGGGAGAATTTTATGGCAAGGTATTGATGTTTTCTACTGGATTGTAGAGTATTAGAAAATTACATTTCACCAACATAAACTTTATTTTTTGGAATTTACAAATTTCACTTTTTAATTAAATTAATTGTTTTAGCAAAATTGATCTAAAAGCTGAATAACTTATAAAGTTTCCTAAATGCAATTTTCTGGCGTGATTTTGCTTCCTTAACTATGGGTTAGCATAGTTGAACATGGTAGCATATACCTATAATCCCAATAGGTAGATTGTACATTCCATATGGGACCAGGCTAAATAAATAGACTATCTCAAAACACAGGAGTAATACAATACATACTTAGCTAAGAATCGTGTCTTGTGAGTAGTGGAAGAAGTAGGCTTGTTAAGCCAACCCTTATAATTAATTGGTTGATTTCAATTACTAGGTCAAAAATACTTTTGCTTGTGAATTCCAAATAAGGTAGTGACTCTAGTTCTGGGAAGTCTGCCTTTAAAAATTCAGGTACCTCCTCAGCTTCTCTCCGCACATGCATGTGTCTGTATCCTGGGTACATGCCCAGTAAGAATCTGCCCTGCTAGAGGACGCAGGAGTTTGCTTCATATGCACTCCTTGCCTTCTTGGGAAGACGGATACTGCTGATTTTATTTGTGGAGGTTGTTGCCTGATGCTTTAGCGCAGTTGCACTCTGTGCCCTCTGCGATCGAGGGTCACTGTTGTGTTCCTTTGAGCCTTGTACCCTTATGACTCACGTACAGAGTTGCCTGTTTAATTACCTAATCCCGATGGGTTTGTGTCATTATTGCATAGGGTTTGGGTTTTGTTTTGTTTTTTCCTTATTGTGCCTTGTAGTGCTAGGAGTTAGACCTTGGGCTGGATTTTGGGGCTGATTTAAAAATTAGGCTTTGGAGGATTATATTACAAAGGCTAACTGGGAAACAGCAGAGTAGAGGCTCTAGATTTTGCCGTTAATACTACATGGTTTGGTTTTAATCAATATGTGTAGCAGTAGTGTCTGCGTGTGGTACGTGCACATTGACTACAAGTGCCTATAGAAGCCAGAAGCGTTAGATCCTCTGGAGCCAGACTTACAGGCAGTTTTAAGCTGCCTGACATTAACTACTGAGCATCTCTCTAGCTCCTGGCTTGTTTTGGGGGACAGGGTCTCACCCTGCAGCCGAGGCTGGCCTTGTACTCTTAAACAGTTCTTGCCTTGGCTTCCTGAGGGTTGGAATTTTAAAGGAGTAAACCACCAGGCCTGATTTTTTATTAGAAACATTTTCAAATATTTTTATGTAAAAGTGTGCTTTGTACATAAGTTAGTCTTAGGATACAAATATTGTTACTTGTTCTGTATACTTAAGCAAGTCAAAGTGAGGTAGATTTACACTGTACCACCACTTCTGAATCATACTGTCTCTCTAGGTGTGCAGACATTTCCTTGAAGCTATTGAAAACAACAAGTATGGCTGGTTCTGGGTGTGTCCTGGAGGTGGCGACAACTGCATGTATCGTCATGCACTTCCTCCTGGGTTTGTGTTGAAGAAAGACAAAAAGAAAGAGGAGAAAGAAGATGAGATTTCATTAGAAGATCTAATTGAAAGAGAGGTAACAAGTATCTTTTCTCTTAAAAGCTACTTTTAATTATTTTTGTAAGTTCTAATATTTACCACTTGGGGGCAATAGCATGTTAAGAAAGGAAAAACAATATTATGCCCTTTTCCTAAAGTTTCTGTACTTAAATTACTCTTGAGTATCTTAAATGTAAATTTTACCGTTTACATTAGCTAAACATACTTTAATTATAGGAATGTGTAGGGTGCTTTGTTTTTTAAGTATGAGTCACTACTGTTTTCATACCATGGGGTTATTTTAAATGCTTATTTATGCCTCATATTGATGTAGCTTAGGGTCTCTTCTTGGTGCTCTGTTTTCTTTTTTAGCATACTTGTGAAACCGTCCCTCTGGGTTCTGGGTATGTTTTTCCAGTTAGAGGACAGGTAGTGTGTGAAGAGCATCCTGGTTGTTCTAGCTCAGCAGTTAGAGGGCATTGAGAGCGTTGGGGACACTAGATTTAGCATTGTTTGCTTCAGTGTGCGTGTAAGTGACCAAGACTGTCTGCGCTCAAGTGGCTGTGCCGTCTGTCACATAGATAGAGTACTGGAGTGCGCGTGGTAAAGCAGGATTACGACTGTTTACCCCCGTTCCACCACTTCCTAGCTCTTCATGCCTGATGGGTGTCCTGCCGCCTCTTCTTTGTGGAGACCAGTGTGTGGTATATAGAGTTTTCTGCACTGAATGTATAGCGGATAACTTATTTTTTTATACCCATTTATTAACTTATTACCGTGAGAAGTGCAGATTTTGTCTTTTGGTTTTATCTCTCATCTGAAAAAACACAAATGAAGCTTGAATTTATTATGATGTTTTTAAAACCTATTTCACAGCAAACTTTTCTGCTCAAGTTTACGTCAAAGTGTTAAGCTTTGTGTGTGTGTCTCTGGGTACTTGTTTAGCCTATTACCATGCAAAAAGTAACATCGCTTAGTCTGTTTTATGTTTTAGAGCATTCATAGGGAAAGAATTACCTGCCTTGAAAGAAAAATGCTGTTAAAACAACTGTAAGTGACTTTAAATCTCTTTGCTTTGCAGCGTTCTGCCTTAGGTCCAAATGTTACCAAAATCACTCTAGAATCTTTCCTTGCGTGGAAGAAAAGGAAAAGACAAGAAAAGATTGATAAACTTGAACAAGATATGGAGAGACGGAAAGCTGACTTCAAAGCAGGGAAAGCGCTCGTGGTATGTCCCAGACTCAGACCAATGGTCCTTCATTCTTCTGTCTCATAGTTGTTAAAATGCATGGTTCTGTCTTTCTTAAGTCTACGTAGTATGTCTCATATTAATGGTGGCATTTCCCATGAGGTGATCCGTTTGTGTGCCTTTGTAGATCAGTGGTCGTGAGGTGTTTGAGTTTCGTCCTGAGCTGGTTAATGATGATGACGAGGAGGCAGATGATACCCGCTACATCCAGGGAGCCGGTGGCGATGAGGTGAGACCAGGCTTTGACCTCGCGTGTTGATCTTTCTGGGGGAAGTGGTGGGGAAAACGGAAGCATGGCTAAGGGCACCCATGTCAGACTCTGGAGTTCAGTCCTATTCCCATCCATAAGAAACTCCTCTAGACCTCTACTCTTAGCCTCAGTACAGGTAAGTAATTCCTAACCCAGGCTGCTTCTGAGAATGAGTGAGTTCATCGGTGTTTATCTTTAGGGTTGCCTTCTTTATAGAACTTAGTACATGCTGAGTGGTGGTGACGAACACGTTTGACCTCAGAGGCAGGCAGATCTCTGGAGTTTGAGGCCAGCCAGGGCTACACAGAAAAACCCTGTCTTGAAAAAAACAAAATAAAAAAGAACTTAGTACAATGCTTGGTGCCTACAGTTAAGTGCTGTTTACAATAGATTTTTTTAAAGCTATTTCTGTCCCTTTAAAATATTTTTTTTTATTTAAAATTTGTTCTGCCCAAATAGTCAAGGGGCGAGGGCAGGAGATAAAGGTAAAGAGCAGGCAGCACTGGCAGTTCTCAGCAGTTCTGCCCGTCCTGTGTTGTTGTTATGGAATCCCAGGTTGGAAGAACGTCATTCTCAAACCATGATTCCAGAGAAGAAAACTTGAGAAACAGTGACTACTTTTTTTTCTTCTAAAAGTTTAAGGGGGAAGAAATTGAGTTTTCAAGCAGTATCCTTTGTCTTTTTCTTAGTATTAGTAATTTTGTTTCCTGAAGATAATGTGTCAAGAGTAAAACTGAGTTGAGGAAACTCATTTGTAGTGACTTTGCCTCCTCTGTGTTGTTAAAGGTTGATGACTCAGTGGGTGTGAATGACATAGACGTGAGCCTGTACATCCCGAGGGATGTGGAAGAGACGGGTATCACTGTAGCCAGTCTGGAAAGATTCAGCACGTACGCTTCAGACAGAGATGGTGAGTATGCTGCCTTTTCAGGGCTCCAGAGAAGCCAGGAAACCGGCCTGGGCAGATGCAGATGCGTTCATGCTCTGAACTGGAAATGGGAACATTTGGCTAAATAAAAATGTAGGGAGAGCTGTAGAAAAGAATGGCTTAGTGGGTATTGAAACCGTGGGCTAAACCCTTAAAAGAAAATCAAAAACAAATTGGAAGATGTAGCTTTTTAATGGTATTTTCTAAAATTCTGTGTAACTATTTGCAGACAAAAACAGGCTGAAAGTAATGTGCACTAGTGTCAGGATGATTGAGCTCAGCTAGTCAGGATGTATACAGTAACAATCAGAACATACTGTACACGCCAGAGTTACGGGACAGGCAAAGACAGAAGTGCTTACCAAAAACACACAACTTGAGTGAAAAAATAAGAGGCTTGTGTTTGGGGGCGGGGTGACTAGAATCACAGGTATTTTATTAGTTGCAGCTAGGCAAAGGGATACTGGAATAAGGTACCTGTTTTACCAAGGCAGTGTGGAAAACAGGGAAGATGACAGAAGCAGCGTGGTTACAGGGAGGGGCTTTTAGGGTGTGAGAAATAGGAACATACATTGTGTCAAGCAGAAAGGCCCTAGTGGAGGAGGAGAAAGAAACAAACCCTGGAAGTGTGTGTGATGATGCAGTGTGGGAGTGGAGGGAGGCCTTCTGGGGCCCGTGTGGACGGAAAGGTTGGGGCGCATGTCCTTGTACCATGAGGAAGGGGCTTGAAGACTGGGAATGCTGTGAGAGAGAAGCACGGGAATGTTAATGAAGGCAGAGGCTGGAACAGGAAAGACAATACACCTGATTTTTATTATGAAAGTATACAAGTTGTAACTTAAAACAAGTGGTTTACCCTTGCAAGCTCTGAGGTGGGTATCGAGTGGAGTGGGGATTTGGTAACATTATCTGGAGTTCAGGGCTCCATGACCTTATGATCAGAAATGTTTAAGCAAGGCTCGGAAAACTTGTCATTATATAAGTGTTGTCATTGGACAAGAGGCAGCGTCGGCATTTGTGGTCTCATTGCACACAGCTGTGTGCTAGAGCTACATACGCACTGGGAGCTTTAGATGTGGTGCTGGAGACCAGACCCACGCCAGCCCCGGTCTCAGAGCCCCACAGGCACTTTGCTGGAGTTGTTCTGTGGCCTTTAGTCCTAACAAAATAGATGAGGATGGACTGCTCCGGAACCAAATCGCTGAGTCACATGAGGAACACAGATGGGATTTCCTAGTGGACAGGTAATTGAGCTCAGAAAGGGAAGACCTCTCCTTGCTGAAGGAATCTCAGGGAAGGATTTCCTGGGAAAGGAAGAAAGGTCTGTGCTCTTGGCTGCTGCTGTAATGCTGTCTTGTTTCTAGGTCATACTGATTTCGATTTTGTTTTGTTTTGTTTTCAGAGAACAAATTAAGTGAAGCTTCTGGAGGCCAGGCTGAAAATGGCGAGAGAAGTGACTTGGACGAGGACAGCGGAATGGGGGGACAAGAGAATGGATCCATCGATGCTGTTCCCGTGGATGAGAATCTGTTCACTGGGGAAGATCTGGACGAACTAGAAGAAGAATTAAACACACTTGATCTGGAAGAATGACACCAAACAAGGCAAGGAAGAAAATTAGGTCAGCTCAACATGATCAGCCGTAATCAAAATTGACTACGTTAATTGTTTTGCCACCTAGAATCAACAGGATGTTTATTTCCCGTGATGATTCTGGAGGGATACTGCCCTCCACAAAGGAATACTCTCCCTGCGTCTTCTCTTCTGACTTTGACTACATCTCCTAGTAAGTTCAGAGTAGTTGATGATAAATTGAAAATGGTCGTTACAGAAGATGGTTGTTGTTGTCACTGTCCTCTCCCGTAGGAAGTGTAACTGCTTCTCCAGCTTTTGGTTTCACTGGGCATGTGTTATTTCCAGGAACAACAAAGTCATACTTAACATACTTTCCGTTTGATGCAGTTTTTAATGAGTGGTTTCCTTTCCTTTGTATTTATATGTTTTAAAGACTGCCTGAAAGGTGAGCGCTATACTTGATAAAGGAAGCTGCATGTGCAGGGTCAGTGTTGCACATCTGGACAGTTAGATGGACGCTGAGATGGGACTTGTTCAACCTGACAGGGTCAGCCACAATGCCCTGTTCTAAAGCTGTTTAAAGTTCTCCCCTTTTTGCCAATAAAGTTGTAAATAAAAACCATCGTACATCCAAATCCAACTGGGCGTTTTGTTTTGTTTGTAAGCTTTTCTATGAAGTATTTAACATTCCTAGCTTGGTATTTTTATTAAATATTGATGATATTGGTTGTAGGTGTCACAGAGGCAAAGACTTAATGGATTTTCTTGGCACATGGTATGTTACCATGGATTACTGACAGTGTTGGCAGTTGTTACTATTGTCCATTTCCAAAAAGACTTACATGCTGTTACTTTAATTCCGGAATTGTTGGATCACATACCTAATTAAACGGTTATTACAGTTAAACAAATACTTCGTTGAAATCAGTATTACAGAAAGAAGAAGGTAAACAAACAGAAAACTTGGGGCTGAGGGTCTTGGCTATTGAAAATTTAGAGTAATAGCACATTTGAAATGTTTTTTGCGCATATTTAGCACTAGATACCGACAGTTCATTGCCGTGGTACTGTGTTTCGTGGGGTGATTTCCAAATGTGGATTTTTAGAATGATTTTTTAAGTATATAAGGTAATAATGTTAAAATATCAGGTGACCTAAGCCCTAACCTCTTTCCGGCCTCAGAGAAATTATACCTTAAGTTTCTGGGTTTCAGTTTTTCATTTATCTGTAAATTTTAATATTGAATGTGGGACTAGGATGTAGCTCACTGTAAGAGTACTTTCTTATCCTGTGCAGAAGACCCCAGTTCTAAATGGTTTTTTAAAAACCTGTTTTCCAGAAATGCTTTCAAAATCTAACTTAAGAAAAAGAAAGACTGTATACATTGTTAAATGATAACCTCAAAGTTTATAAAAAAAATTTGTTTTCTAGCTCTTATTTATCATAATTAACATCTTCTAATATAGAATATAATGAACCAAGTTTATTTCCTGTCTACTTTTTGTATAAAAATATTGTTTTATACTTTATATCTACAAAGTATTTCTTCCAGTCTTTTTGTGGAAAAGTTGCTTAGTGAATTTTGTTTTGTTTTTGTTTTTCTAGACAGGGCTTCTCTGTGTGTCTTTAGCTGTCTTGGAACTAACTCTGTAGACCAGACTGGCCTCGAACTCAGAGATCTTCTGCCTCTGCAGTGCTGTGATTAAAGGTGCGTGCCACCACACCCAGCTTACTTCGTGAGTTACTTAATGACAAAATCGTCTAAAAACCTCGTGTCTTTTCTGTATTGTTCACAGTGCAGTCACTCTATATTAATTCGGTTCATCTGGAACTTGTGTGTTTTTTCAGACTTCATTTTAAATAGTTGTTATTCCAAGTTTCTCTTACATAATTCCTACTATTAACACGTTCTTGTATTCTAATTCAGCGGGTAACTTTATTCGTTTTAAGAAATCTGGGGTTTAGAAAATCAGGCATGTAAATACAAGCTTTCTACGAGAAAAAGTAGAAAAAAAGTTTGTACTTATTTCCATACGCTCTGTTAAGTGAGCTCTGTTCTCACATAGGTGATTTCATGAGACCTTATTTATTCTGTGTTCAGTGAGCCCACAGTGTGACCCCATGAGTCATCCAGAATAGTCTCAATTTTAATGGCTTCTCATAATCAAAGCCCACCATACATGAACTACTAAAAATTGTATAATTGTCAATATATCTTTTAAGACATCCACTGGGTGGTTTTTCAGTATGATAGTAACAAAGCCACAGATTCACAGGTTTAATTTTTAATTGTATTTTTTCAAATTCACTCATTGAAACATATTTAAGCTAAGTACCTGTAAATATTAAAGACACAATATTAATAATATAGTAATCACAATAATAATCTGCCCTCTTCTGTCCCAGGTGCCCTCTGTTGACTTTATGTGTGAGGCTTTCTTGATGACCTGTATCTAAACCTGTGCAGCTGTGTTTCATTCCGTGTGGATCCTAAATTGTACTTCTATGTCATAGGAAACTATGTAGTCACCATTCTGACTTCTAATGTGTTTTCAGAACCGCCTTACATCATGTACAGAAATGTAGCCAGAATATATAGTTAGGGTATTTCAGTAACTGAGACCTGCCAGGCTGCAAGCATATTATGTAATCATATGCAGTAGCTTTAGATGGTTTTAGGAGTGTTCACCTTCGAATCTTCACACTGCTGATAGCCAGGGAAAGGGGAATATCTGTAGCTTTGCGATTTCACCATCTAACCAGAAAGCAGGTGGATGTGTGGAGGCAGGCGTGTTAGTTACACACCCTGCACCACTGCTGGCCCGATGCGCCAAGACCTGTGGGTCCTCCATGTCTTGCACTGCTTACCCTCAATAGAGGGAAAGCTGGGGGTTGGTTGGTTTCCTAACTCACTTTACTGGAAAATAGTGTAATACTTGTAGCAGGAGGCCACTTGTTTCTTCTCAGCCACCCAGACCACGAAATAATCTCTCAGAAACTGTATTAATTAAATCACTGCTTGATTAGTCACTTAAGCGTATTGCTAGCTAGCTCTTACGTCTTTGGTTAACCCCATTTCTGTTTTTTATATTTTACCATGAGGTTCATGGCCTGCCTGTAATGTTCCAGCTATCAGCTTGCTTCTTTCCCCTCTGGCAGCCACATGGTGTCTCACTGACTCCACCTTTCTTCTCCCAGAATTCAGTTTAGTTTTCCCTGCCTAGGTCTACTCTGCTGTATCTCAGGACAAGGCAGAGTCTTTATTCATTAGCCAGTGAAGGCAACACATACACAGAAGGACCTCCCACACCAAATAGTTATGTATGCTTTTGGTTCATTAGCTTGTTTGTACTAGAGACCTACCGCCAGCCACCTACTGGGAAGCAAAGTAATCGTTTGGTGGCTTTGACGTGTTTCATGATGTAAAATTGAAACAACTGTAGTCTAATTTGAGCTGATCCAATGTTTTGTGTGTGCGTGTGTGCTCCCCCCCCCCCAATAATTGTCTGACTGAAAGGACAAAGCATCAGTGTCTGATGCAGCCGGGCATGGTGGCTCACACCCAGGACACCGGGAGGCTGAGCGAGAGGACGGTGTTTTAAAAATCATTGCAGCCTCGGGACCACTTGGATGTCATAGGAGGCCATAGACAGCTCCTGACAACTACACTGCCCTGTGAACCGCCCCATACAACCCTCCCCACTCTCTTTAAAGTCATGGCTTCTTTTTTTTATTAATGTTAATGCATGCCTATGTCTATATATATATTCCTACATACAGCCTTCTCAGTCCATATTTTGACAAATGTAATTACCTCAGAATTAGTGACAACTGGAAGGAATGGTTAACAGTTCTATTACTGGGTAGTTTCTGACTATAGGCATCTGTAAAAGTCAAATAATAGCGGTATTAGCACAGCTGAGTCATAGGGTGACAACAGGCAAGCCAGGGCCTCACAAGGGGCATTCGCAGGGACAGAAGTTTAATAATGCTCATCTTCATAGGCCTCTGCGTCCATATGTAGCATGCTACTGTACGGAGAAAAATGCAAGTCAGATTTAATTAAAAATGTTTCCTAGGGCTGGAGAAGTGATTTTGTTGTTGAGAGCATTTATTGTCTGTGGAGGATCCAGGTTTGATTCCCAGCACCCATGTGGTGGTTCACAACTCCAGCTCCAGGGGATCTAACTTGTGACTTCTGTGGGTGTTAGGTGTGCCTGTGGTATGCATATATATCTGCGGTACACAGACAGACAGACAGACAACACTCATACACATAAATAGCTTAGGGGCTGGGCTTCAAGACAGGGTTTCTCTGTGCATCTCTGGTTGTCCTGGAGCTCACTCTGGACCAGGCTGGACTTGAACTCAGAGATCTGTCTACTGCTTCTGTAGTGCTAGGATTAAAGACCTGCATCACCACCGCCTGGCTAAGATTCTTAAATACACAATGTGAAGTACCATCCCTCATGTTCCCTGAACAGAACTGCATGGCATCAACAATTTTTAAAAGGTTGTCGATCCTCTTCCTTCTTTCCTTCCCTCCCCTCCCCTGTCCTCCTCCTGTTCCTCCTCCTCTTCTTCTTCCTCCTCTCCTACCCCCCTTCTTTTTTTTTTTTTTTACTTAGGAAAAGACAAAATGCAAAACTGACTGAACTTGTCCTGAGGCAAACAGTAAAGGCTTGGAAACAAACTAGAGTGAGCCAGTGGTGGTTCAGGTGTTGACCGCAGACCTAGGCAGGCAGCTGACAGGTCCATTCTTGCACGGTCTTTATGTCTCATCTGAATGCGGAAGTGAATGACAGTCTGCACATTACCTACAGAAGTTCAAAGATCCTTCTCTGGAAAGTAGTAGTTTTACATTGGGTTTGCATAGAGATGTGGGCCTCCATTTCAGGTAAAACTTTGTTTTCAAACTGTAAGCTTAAATTGTAAATTATTAGATCAGATTGGATAGTGCACATCTTTGATCCCAGCACTTGGGAAGCAGAGTCCCAGCACAAGGCCAGCCAAAGCAACATTGTAAGATTGTCTCAAAAACAAACAAAAAATGTGTAAGTAAACACCTAAGTATAAAGTAAATCAAGGGGCTGGAGAGATGGCTCAGAGGTTAAAAACATTGCCTGCTATTCCAAAGGTCCTGAGTTCAATTCCCGGCAACCACATGGTGGCTCACAACCATCTGTAATGGGGTCTGGTGCCCTCTTCTGGTCTGCTGGCATACACACAGACAGAATATTGTATACATAATAAATAAATAAATAAATAAATATTTAAAAAAATAAAGTAAATCAAGTCTCAAAGAGTCCTGTGATTTGTGGGAATTCCTATAAATTGCTGTAGTGGAACTAAGTTAGTTTTCAGCTATCTTTACTCAACCTTTAACAGCTTTATCAAGGTCAAATCGGGGCAGTAAACATCTGCTATGTAACAGCTAGTGATGTGTTTACAAGGGTACAGTCTGTATATGATACATGTCTATCTTCCCAAGATTGTTCATGCGCTTTTGAAACCCTTTCCTAAATTAGCACCTTGATACTATACCCCCAGGAAAGTAACACTTTAGGTTAGTTCACATTTTTATAATTTATTGGAATCATGTTTTTTATTTATTTGCTTTCACTGGTCATAATTAGAAATTGCAGGTAGTAATAGAATGTTTCTGGAAATTGCACCTGTTGGCTGGGATTGTTTCTGGTTAAGGCCTTTACAGGTCACCATCTGAACAGTCATGCACAGATCTTTGTATGAACACAGCAACGTGTGGTTCGCACTTTAAACATTTAAAGAGGATTTCATGGTGTTTTCTAAAATTGTGCCCTTTTATTCCTAACAGTGGTTTATAAGGACTCCACCTGTCCTTGATGGGATCCGTTTTACAGGAGGCAGGCTGAGTTTTTGTTAAACATTATTTCTCTATGTGTGCTGGTGTGAGTTTACCACATACTGAAGAGGGCATCAGATCCCCTGGACCTTGAGTTACAGAAGGTTGTGAGCTGCCGTGTGGACACTGGAAACTTGAATCTGGGTCTTCTGCAAGAGCTGTTCAGCCTCTGAGCCGTCTCCAGCCATCAAAACACAGCTCTCAAGCATGTAGTGAACAGTCCAGTTGATGTAAGACCACCTGTTGCAAAGACTGAACTCTCCGTACACCTTTATAGATTGTTAAACACTGGTTCTGGTTTTTGTTTGGGGCCCCTTTTTTCAGGGGAGGAGGACATCAAGCCACATTCTAAAGGGTTTTTTTTTTTTTCCCCATTTGACCCAGTGGGTCATCTTCACAGCCTGCTGTGTTTAATTAAATGAAAATAGCATGCAGGTGAATTTGTAGTTTACTCTCATTTTGTGGTGCTGGGAATTAGATCAGGGCTTCTTTCATGGTCAGCAAATACTTTATTTCACCATTTGAATGCATTATTCAGTCTTTAATTCTGTAAATAGAGACTCTCCCAATAAATTGTTTTGCTTTCTGAGATCTTTTCATATAAAAAGCAGTGACAATGTATTTAAGGCCTTGTGGAGCTGTAAAGGAGCTCGAGTGGCAGCGTCAGTAAAGGTGCAAATCCAGTGCTGTTTCCTGTTGAAGCGTTCCGAGAACCATTGGTCAGCAGAGCTGGAGGGACAATGATGCAAACGTGTAGGGCTGCTGTTGGTGTCGCTCAGCTGTTTCATTGTAGACTGACCTTGAGACTGGGTGTGTGCAGAAGACTGAAAATCTGAGCCTACTTCCTCCCACCTCCTGAGAGCTTGTGTTTGTGGGCCTGTGTCATCTGTCAGCCTCTGTGCCTGCCTTAGAAGTCTTTTGGGACAGGGATTCTCTGGTATCCCTGGCTGTCCTGGAACTCTGTAGACCAGCCTGGCCTTGAACTGCCAGAGTGCTTGGATTAAAGGCGTGCACCAACAACTCCTGGCTAGAAGTCCACTTTGAATATTAAAATATAATGAAGTCATAAACCAATACTCTGGTTGTATATTATCAGATGGTTACTGTGCATAATTCCATTGGGCACATGGGGTATTGGTTAGTTTTTGTTTTGCTTGTTCATTTGTTTTAAGAAGAAGTATGTTGGCTAGGTCATCACCACGTCCCAGGTACTGTAGGCACACCCCCATACCCTGACTCTTCATATGCTTTATTTTTCCGCCGTTGACAGCACAGTAAGTTTATTTACACCAGCACCACCACCAGCATAAGTTACGTCTTGTTTGAGCATTGCAACAGCTATGTCACTACTGCAGGAATTTTCAGGTCCGTTGCAGTCATGGAACCACCATATGTGAGGAAAGATCTTGAAATGAGGGCAGCTATTCAAGACCCAAGCTTCTAAAATTAGGCTGTAGAAATTCAGAGAGCATACAGTATGGATAACTCTGCCATGTCCGCTAAACACGTCACTGATGAATCATTTGGCTATAAAACCTTTCTGGAAAAGAGCTGTTCAGCATCTGCATAGGCTCATGCGTTCTAACCACACTGAATATTGCAGTCCCATCTCAAAACAATCGTGTCTCCCCATAGCTTGCTACTGGGTATGCTTAGCATCAAAGGACAAGCTTTCCAGGGGCTTCGGAAGGAGCTCATCAGTTAAAGACTTACTGTACAAGCACCCTTGTAAATGTAGGGGGTTTTGTTCCAGTGCTGAAAAGCAGAGACAAGTGAATTCCTGGAGCTCACTGGCCTCCCAATCTAGCCTAATCAGAGAGCCACAGGTTTAAGTGGAAACCCTGTCTCATTGGCCTGGTGATACCGATGATCTGAGCTGGATCCCAGGGACCCATGTGACACTAAACCAACTCTGGAAAGTTGTGCTCTGACCTCCACGTGTGTGCCACGGTACACGGGCCCACGCACACATGGGTGCACAGATCCGGTAGTTTGGATTAAGATGCCGTCCATAGTCTCAGGCATTTGAACACTTAGTTCCCAGTTGAAGGCACTGTTTGGGAGGTTGCGGAGCTGCGGCTTTGAGGAAGTATGTCACTAGAGACAAACTGAGTTTAGAAACCAGAGCCATGTCTAATGCAAACTTTTGACTTTCTGCTTGGGATTAGATGTGTTAGCTCTCAGCCATTCCTGCTTCTCTGCAGTAATGATCAAGTCTTACCCCTCTGGGATCGAATGTCCCAAAATACTCTGGAATTTGCCATATCACAGCTGTAGAAAAGTAATACGGTGGTTCCCAAGGAATGTCACCTGGGGTCTCAGTGAACCCCACACATGTGCATCCACACACAGAAGAAGCTCTCCTTGGTGACCATGCCAAACACAATATATTTGAAAGATGCTGTCAATCAAAAAAAAAAAAAAAAAACTTGTCTTGAAGAGTAGTAAAGGCTGCACCTGCAGATTCCCATAGCTGCCTGAATTCATTGTGGCAGTCGTAACTGGAGACATACCTTTCTCAGTAGGCACCAAACACCTTACCTACTCTCAGAGAACTATAGCTGAGGTATGCTGTGTCTGTGTCTTACTGTGTGGGCCCGGCTGTCTCTGAACTCAGTCTACGGGTGCTTCAGCCTTTCACTTCCACCAAGAATAAACGTGACGGAAACACTAAGCAGGACATAGGCTGTGAAGCTGGCATAGGTACTCAGCATCCCGCCTAGGCCGATGGTAATGCCGTCTGACTGGCAGGGAAGCAGTTGACAGAACCGCCTCTAACTTCATTTTCCTGTGGGTCCTTCCCATGTGCTCCGGGCTTCTCTGCCGTCTTCGCGTTCTGTCCCTTGCCAGTGTCACTTGCTTTCATGATTTCAGTAATCACTTCCACATGAGCAACTCCATCTCCAGCCCCTTATTTTCAATAAGCCGCTCACAACATTTCCTGTCAACATGCCAGAGCCCAAAATCTCCTAGATTTTTTCCCCTTTCTTTTCCTTCGTTATTGGGATTTTGTCACCCAGAGACTTGGACTGAAAACAACCAGTCATTGTACCACACCAGAATTTCTCCTACAACAATGCCCTTTTCTGGTCACGTGGCCACTGCCTTTTCTCGGGGTCTTATCTTTGTCCGTAATTTGATACACATAGTTTATATCTCAAAAGGGACACTTAGAGCGAGGGCGTGGTGAAGAAGGTCCCTTTAATAGAAATACTAAGACAACTGGTATACCTGGGACTGCCCCTTTGAACCTGAGATACTAATCACCAAACTTATCATGGCCTATTTCTTTCCCAGGACTGAAAGCCCTGCCAGACTTAGCTTTCAACAGAACTCTGTTAAGTCATGCGTTCTCCTCTCTCTAATTCCTCAGAGGCTCTATGTCTGCCATGAAGAGTGGGATACAGGCATGGGCTTCAAGGTCATGGTGGCCCTATCTTTGTTATTATTTCATTATTCTGATTACTCAGTGTTCTGTGTGTTTAAATCCTGAGTTACCCCGTTAGGAACATAGGGATTCCAATGCTTATTCCAGTTGCGAGACTGATGTGGGGTGTTTGTAACCTCTGGAGCTACCTAGAAGGTAGCTGCAATGTGACAGTCACCTTGGCAACAGGTAGCTATGCCTGTATATTGTGGTTTTTGTGTCTTGGCTGCACGCTCCTATTTGTGAAATCCCCACATTTCCAAATAGGAATAACCTTAAGAATCTAAAGATGGAGAACATTCATGCTTTTGAGTCACCAAAACAGAGGGTCCCAAATTCCCTGTGTGCCTTTCTGCTTCTATGAACATATCTCTGAGGGGCATTTGGTTATTTTGTTGGAGGAAGGTTTGGATATATTGATTGTAGAACCAAGGAGGAAAAGCTTCAGGGTATTGAGGGATTTCCTTAATAAGTTCGCTAAGGTAGGAAAATCCAAACTGTCTTCTAGGTGTTGGGAGCAGCAAGAACTTTAAAGTCTGCAACCCTCTAGAGAACGATAAAAAGTGGGAGTTGAGGTAACAGGGTGGGTCGTGTAGAGCACAAACATCGAAGTTATACCTAAACTCCGGGAGTTCCAAGGGCAAAACATGGCAGTCCACATAAGTAAGGGTTTCTTGCATCTGAACTTTCAAAAGCCCAAAGTAGACTAGAGAGTAAAAATGAGTGTAACTGTGCAGGCAGAGGGGCCTCACAGACCGTGTGTCATTCCTCTCTCTCCTCCGGCTCTGCTGTAGCCTTGTTCGCCAAATAAGTTTCTCATCTTTGTGCAGACACTGCTGGACATGCGCGTGGAAAGGTGTGGCAGTGAGCCTTTTCTTCACATCATGGAACAGTCTGACCCAACACCATGAGCGTTTGCCTTCCTGTGTGTCGGGCTCCAAATGAAAGCTGACTGTTACAGCAAATTCCTGGGAAAGCAGAGAAAATGCAAAAAGATGTACGTAAAGCAAAACACATTCCTGGCACAGTACGGCGTTGGACGAGGCCGAGAACATTTTCAGCAACAAAAGAACTGAACAAAATGAATATAAAAAGAAGTGGATATCAAACTGAAGGAATTAGAATATGAGCAAGAAACCATGTGAGGCAGCCGTCTCAACAAAAAGACAAAACACTGATTTTGTTTTAATACACATGTTAATCAGAATTTTTGGATAAGGTTTATAACCATTTCCGAGTGTTGCCAACTCTGGAGCGTATTAGATATTTATTTCTGCATAGGTTGGAAAATGTGCAGGATAGGTTGATTGGGAAGGTGCCTAAGGATTAAATGTAGGTTGGTTGTGCAAAGAATTAAGAAACAAATCTGCTCTTTTTTTTCCAGTTCTCCTTGCTCTGTGAAGAAATTAAGCTGGCCAGCTCAAATGATCTCTTTGTGTCCAGGATATAGCTCATCCCAAATAGCTTTGCATTGCCTGGGAGCTCACAAAAGGAGTCCCTCGAGGATTTCTAAAAGCTATGAACCAGTTTGAGTTCACTTTGCTCTCTGTGTGTGGTACCCAGCAGTTCTACATTCAAACAGACACTTCATAAATACTGCTGCCTTCAATAAGCTAAGTCAGTTTTTTATTTGTTTTGGTTTTTTTTTTTTGTACCATTTCAGATTTATTACTACTGGGACAACTGTGAAAGTATATTTTTTAAAAAGTGTCTCTGGAATACTTTGAACCACACATAAAAGTGAATTATTTCTTAGAAATGCCTTTTATCACAAGTCTTTGCCCTCTGATGAGAGAGTTCAGGGTGATCCTTAAACCACGTTAGGTATAAAACCTCATTGTGTCTGGCAAGAACAGATGAGCTAATACAGTCTATGTTTTAGTAGATTCATGTTCTTGTCATCCTATGCTGGATTGGTTCCAAGGAAAAGGTAAACTTCTGTGACTGCATGTAGACACATTTTCTCATTCTTTGATTCACTAGAAGTGCTGTGTTCCCTTCATTGTTCATAAAAGCCGACTGGATGGAAGATGAGAACACAGCTCTGTATGATCACCCTTGACATTTGCAGGCTAAAAGATCTCTTGTTCCCCCACACACTTGGTTCCTGGCTTTCCTCACTGGCTCAATAAACAAGACATTGTAGAAAGCTTTACAGTCTGAACACAGCATGGTGGAAATGGCAAGAGAGCAGAAGCCTACACACAAATTTGACATCCCCCCCCCCTTGTAGCAGGATGGACCTTAACCTTCTGGCCTCCCTCCATGGTCAAGGGCAGCAGATGAGATTCGCCTGCCCTGAGGATGTGGCGCTCTGGAGAAGTGTATATGAAATGCTAAGCACCGAGGCCACCAGCTATGCGAGTTGGCTTGCTTTGTCCCCTTTTCTTTCTATTCCTGTTACACATCGTGTTTCCAAAGGAAAAAACTCACACATCTCTGAGTCTTCCATTTACCCAAATAATACATTCTTTCTAATACCAACCATACAAATCTGCCACATGTAACATCAACACTACTAAGTCATGATTGTACTAGCAGCTTTAGTATTTTAAGTTTGCATTACATTTATTGTGCGTGTTCTCATGCACACATGCACAGACCCAGAACATGCATGCAGAGGTCAGGGAATTATTTGCTCTGCTATAGTAGTTCTCTGATCAGCAAACTTTGGGGCCAGCACTTTTACCCAGAGAGCCATCACACTGGCCAGGTAAGGTACGTCCCTTTGCTTGAACACTGATTTCCAAGTTGTTTGGATAATTTTCCAGATACTATAAGAAACATTAAGTGCAAGGGTAGGCTACCATTACTAGGCAAAGCTTGAACTAGGCCTTTAAACATCTCAAGAAGCTCACCGCAAGCCAGTTGAGACAAAGCAGGACTTCATGCTCGACATTCCAGATGCAGATGCAGTTTGAGGCCGGGGAAATCCACACCATGAGTTCCAGATCAGCTGAGACTATGTAGTGAGACAGTCTCAAAAAAAAAAAAAAAAAAAAAAAAAAAAAAAAAAAAAAAAAAAACACCACTTTTGCCGTACTCCACAAATTTTTGCACAAATTTTGTACACAGAGCAGAAAAGTACTTTTGTTTGAAAATAGACAGGGTTTCTCTGTGTACCCCTTGCTGACCTGGAACTCACTACATAGGCAAGGCTGGCCTTGAACTCACAGACTTCTGCCAGCCTCTGTCTCCTGAGCGCTGGAATTAAAGGTGTTCACCAACAGACCTGGCCAGGAAAATTACAGTTTGGGGCGGGGGTGGGTGGGTGGTGGACTGCCATGGCCAGCACAGTAATGATCTGCAGGAGGAAAGAAGGCAGTTTGGTTTAACACAATGTACATAGCCGGTGTTAGTTCAGATGGTCCTAGAGACTGACAAGCTCATGATAAGAGAGGATCCTACGTGCTCACAGACACAAAGATAGCCAAAGGTCACTAGGCTGTTAACCACATCCCCTCCCTGCCTTCTGGGCAGAAAACAGGTTACATAGCCCTCCCTTCAAAGGAACAACACTGTGTTTAACACCCCTGGTTCCTCCAGTGCTTGTCTGTGAGGACCTCAGCACCTTCCCTAAGGGAGGATGAAGGCTAGAACACACACTCTGGAGTCAGACTGGCTTCAAATTCTGGTTCTGCCTCTACAGCTTTGTGATCTTAAAGGAGCTGATTATCTTCTCTTGTCTGTAGACTACAGTGCAGCCTTGTTTTCCCTTTGCAGAGGTTAGAGGCGTAGACGAGGTGTACAGATTTCCAGCATGGTCTCCAAATCTGGAGTTAGACACACGTATTCTGTCATAGCCTCGCAGTGTTGACAGGTATAAAGTATACAGAATATATATATATGTATATATATATATACAGAATATATATATATAAATTGGCACATGCAAAGCTTGAAATAAGAGCTTTTTAATCTGCTGGTAGAGGGAAATGGAAGATTAATCAGGAAAGCTAGAGGTAGATATGAAAGACGGAAGATGTAGCTCTGTTGGCAGAATGTTTGCCTGGCAGGCGCCAGGCTCGGGCTGGACCCCAACACCATGAAAACAGTTTGGTAGGGAGTCAGAAGTTCAAAGCCATCAGCTACATGTTAAGTTTGAGGCCAACAGAGGCCATGTGAGACCCTTTCTCACAAAAAAAATAAGTAATAATAAATAAAAGTAAAGGAGAGACTGGAATGATGAATAATGACCTAGAACTCCACTTCTTTAGATCTTAGCATATAGGAACAAAACTTTTGATGTCTCAAAGTCCTTCATGCAAAGAAATGCTGGAATTTTTTTTTGAACCTCAACGACTGGGAGGCAGATCTGAAACAATCCCTCATGCAGTTCAGCGATGAAAGGAGAGACATATGCCAAGAAAACGACAATCACTTAATGCAAACATGAGTAGCTGAGGTTTAGTTGAAAGTGCTCTTTTTTTTTTTTTTTCCTTGCTGGAACTAGTTTAGTGATCCAGGGTTGACTCTAATCCCTGCTCCAAGGCACCTTCACGATTTTCATACTACCTGTTTCAAGAGTCTAGAGTTACATGGAGATTGTCACGTATCTTCCATGTTCCACATTCATAGCCTCAAATTCCATATTCTCGTCAGCACTTTTTGTCAAAGAAACGAGTTTCCACGTGTGTTGCTTTTACGCAGTTCTGTGAGTTTCGCTCTCACCTGCTGATTCAGTGGCTCTGTCGTGTATTTTTATGGTGGTCTTTTTCAGTGCCCCATAAGGAAATATCAGGGGCATTAATGAGATAAGAAGAAATTTACCAGTCCGCTAGCTATTGAGCAAGCAATGTCTTGTGCCTCAGGAGCCAGATTGCCATCATCAGCTCTCCCCTTTCACTTCTGCTAGCTGGGCATCCTCGATTTTGGCTCTTGGCTTTCTCATTTGCATAATGAGTATAAATGTTTAGAATGATATCTGATATTGTTATGGGCAGCCCGACGGAAGATGACCAATTACACAGACACAGTTTGTAGCCAACTGAAAGTCTTTATTCCAGTCATTTGGGACTACATTCAAGTTTTCAGAGACCTAAGTGTAGCCATGAGCATTTAGAACAACAGGCTTTCAAAGGCAAAAATCACATCCTGTTGTCTCCCCCCTCTGCCCAGTGAGATGGGGTTTCCCTGTAGTTTTAGAGCCTGTCCTGGATCTAGCTCTTGTAGACCACGCTGGTCTCAGACTCACAGAGATCCACCTGCCTCTGTCTACCAAGTGCTGGGATTAAAGGCGTGTGCTACCACCACCCAGTCAAATCCTGTTGTCTTAATCAAAAGCTTCAGGGGGAGGACTGGACAAGCAAGCACTTTAACAGAAAGGAAGGTAAGTTAGCAGGGCACCTTGACCTCGGGTTCCTAGACTATAGAGTTGGGTAATTTTCCATGGGATTCTCCATCAAAAAGATCAAATTCTAGTTAAACCTGAAATGGCCTCAGCAAGAACGCAAAGAGGACTCTCTGCACTGTCTTCCCCTATCACAACATAATGTGCTCCCAACAAAAACTAAACATCACAATTAAATAACAATGCACAGATTATCATCGTTTATAGGTGTCTTCCTAACTGCCAAGCCTTGACATTCAGACAAAACTATCTGCATACCGCATCCTTTTGGTTTGCTTTCAGTATTTTCTAAAATAGTGCTCTGGGCTTGTCTTTAAAAAAAAATTCTCTTAATGATAACTCGGTAAGTTAGGTGAGGGAAAAAGCAAAGCAGAGCTAACTCAGGTGGGATCATGAGTTCATATTCTCTGCCATGGACTCACAGGGGTGTTGGGTCTCCTGGTTCAGCATTTTCCCTCTGCTACCAGGGAAGAGACAGCAGCAAGGAAGGTGAATAAGAACCACCTGCTCGCTCCACATGATGATCGGACCTTCATTGCAGACTCGGGCCCTTCCTCCAGGCTCCTGCAGGACTGTGAACGTAGTTTCTCTGCCTGCAATTCTCTTCCGGCTCCCGACCCATCCATTCTCACCTCCTCTGCTTTTAGATGCGGTATCGGTTTTTCCTCTCGGGTTTTCCAGGAGTTTCCTTGTTTTACAGCTGCCTAAGTCAGATCCAACTTCAGTCCTTTGTTGTAGGGAAACTTCATCCCTGTGCCTGAGAAGGTCAAAAGGCATACAATCCCCTAAAACTGGAGTTGCAGGTGTTTGTGAGCCTCCACGTGGATACAGGGGACCCAGCCCAGGTACTCTGTGAGATCAGTTATGCTGCTAACTGAAGCCATGTCTGCAGCTTTATCCCTTTTCTTTTCTCCCAGGACTGGACAGAACCCAAGGACTCCTGCATGCTAAATAGATGAGTTACCCCTAAGCTACAAAATTTTCCCTCCTGGCCTTTTTATACTTTTTTTAAAATTTTGACCTAGTGCCCTGCAAAGGGAGTGGCACTATTGAGAGGTGTGGTCTTATTGGAGTAGGTGTGGTCTCGCTGGAGGAAGTGTGTCACTGTGGAGATTGGCTCTGAGAGTTCATAGATGCTCAAGCCACACCCAGTGAGACAGATCACTTCCTGTCATCTGCAAGACGTAGAACTCTCAACTACTCCAACTTTTAGCCATGTCCCATCACGATAATAATGGATTGAAGCTCTGAACTTTAAGCCAGCCGCGCCCAATTAAATGTTTGCCTTTATAAGAGTCGCTGTGATCATGGTGTTTCTTCACAGCAGTAGAAACCTCAGCTAAGATACCTAAGGTCTCACTGTGTTGCCCAGACAAGCCTTGATGTGACACCCTCCTGCAGTTGCTTCCTGAATAGCCAGGATTGCATTTCTATAGCCAGCCAACTTAGTTCTCATTCTTAACCCTTCAAAACTAGGGAGAGGGGAACAAATAAGCACTTTCATTTTTAGGTGTAAATTGTGATGTTTGAAACAGCCAAAGTAATAGCTAATTGTCTGAAGAGCAACCATGTTTCTGCATTGATACCATGTAGCGCAGATAC